GGTTGGGACTTAACAATTGTATAAGAAAATATATGAAGTCTCATTACTCTGAATTTTTTCTCATATGTTTAATCACCTACATTATGTAACGTACCCGCAACTATTTTTACTGTTCTGTTTTCTTGTTTGTATGTTGTAGCCATATGTATCTATGTTGGACTTTTTAACATAAAGAGCTGTCTTGCAGGTCTATGTCACTGCATATTTCTGTTGCGGAAGGTATTTCATCTGAACCACTTATAAAAGGCCCCTACAGATGGCATCAATCACTGTCCTCATGGGCCCAGGGAAGCTAACGCTGTTGTCTAATTTTTTGAAGAAAATGAGGAATACCTGGGGCCTTAGTCTTTCTTGTTTCTCTGTTGTGAGTTGCCACATAGGACTGATTCCTGTTGGCCCCAGTAAACATAATCTTGCAGAAGACCTGCCATTTTCATGGACAAACTTTCCCTAGATGCCATTGATGAATGTATTGAGTGCCTAAGTAACCAATGAAAGAACTCTCAGTCTCATGGCTCTTTCATTGCAATATAATGGAGGCTTTTCTGTAAGAATTCTTTAATGTTGGAGTTCGTTTGACTGTATGGGTTAGTTTATAAGGAGATATGGGCTCTCCAAGCATGATGCTGTGAAAAACTTATATGGGGTTTCAGACGTTTTTGCCCTTGGGGGAAGACTATGGTGCAGAAATCGGCTCAGCAGTTTTGCCAAATTTACATTGCTGTCCATAATTTCCCAGGAAACACTGTAGTCTCTCTAGTCCTCATTTGAAGCTGGATACCTTGAGACACAGAGATCACTCCAAAGAGGGGGTAGTTGTGACAACCTCAAGTATGTTTTCTAGCAACTTGAAATTTTTCCTTGTTTTCAAGGAATGCTAAGACATTTGAAGGGAACCTCCTGTCCAGGTCTGGCAGAGGGCCATGTGCCGTAATGCCGACAATTGTGAAAATAAGAAAGTCATTAGGAGATACAAAATAAGGTAGAAATCTCCTAGGTTTTGTTTAAGCCACTGTAAAGCAAAAGATGGCTGTGGTTGATATTGCTTAAGGAAGTAACTTTTATTTCTGATCTAGATTGTTAGCTCTGGCGGCAGTTGCATTGTTTCTGAGCTTTGGTTATCTTCGCTTGTGTGACCGGATAGCTCCCAGGGAATTTGGGTCTGTGTGACACGCCAGACTCAGAGTTGGAGGTCTCCAGCTCTGCAGGACCTAGGGCTGCTCATTTTCATGCAGCAGCGGCTAGAGAAAGAGGCTGAGAAGGGACCAGACTTCCTTCCACCTGTGCGGATGGGGCTGGTTTAACTGGGACTGGTGTGGACTCAGTGCCAAGGCCAACCATCCAAACAGCCTAATCCAGGGGACTAGTTTTGCATCAATGACATCTTTTTTTTTTTTTTTTTTTTTCAATTAGTAGAAGTAAGACAGCCACGCCACATGAGGATAATGCTGGCTGGACACAAGGCCGGACTGACAGAGAGCTTTGTCTCTTCTCATGTAGAGAAAATTGAATTCAGTTCATTTAATAAT